TCTTGTCCAAGAGTTGACGAATGTCCTCCACCGTGAAGACCAAGTCGGTTGGAGGCTGGTCGTAGTTTCTCCTTGACAAGAGTGGATATGGCGAGTGCTCTGAAGCTGAATATAGAAAAGCACAGTGTTCTCTGTAAACCTCAGATACCATTGGTGGGTCAATTGTCGGTTCTCGGTTTCTGTCCCTCAAGGAGTACGCGGATGGCTTGTTTCTGCGGCGATGTCTCATGTACTTGAACAGTGCGTTTTTGTTTTTTGGTTTCACTTCTAAACGGTTGTTGCATCTAACTTGATTTCTTGAATCATTTGTTTGCCCCACTCATCCATTTTTGAACTCTACTAGTCTTGCTCATCTGCAACCGCCATTTACTTCTCCGCAGGGGTCTCTCCGCCCCACACTGCCATATTACCATGCGTGCATGTGAACGAATGTGCGTGATCGACAGTGTGTGTTCGTATCCAGTTTGCTGAGTCTGCCCTGGCTTGTTCTGCTATGATTTATTCTGCGATCTCATCGCCAGTCAGAATCACGAGACTGGCCTCAAAAGGTATGGCCGCAACCGACACCATCAAGCTAGCAGTCCGCTTGACGTCAACTGGCATGTTGACTTTAATTTTGCTTTTCGCCCCTCACTAATAGGTTTGTGCAACGGATGACACCACGAACCTTGGAAATTGAGTCCATTGCGTGGTTTTGCTCACTTTCGAATCCAGTTAGTACTTCTGATGTTTCTACGTCGCGATTGAGCTCTGTGCTGGTTATACAGTTAGAAAACGCAGAGCGTGTCGCACGGTGGAATAATTTTCGGTCTTGCTGGGATTGTCCGCACCCAACATACACGAGAAAGTTTTACAGCTCGCCGTGAGATGTCAGATTGCCGAAAATAAACCCAGAATGTCCTAATTTCACGCCAACACTTGAACTGCACGAAAATCGCTGCAGCGTATTCGTCAAGGCCCCTTGTTAGAAAAGTCACCCTCTGCTCAAGCAGTCGATCGGTCAAGCAACGACTGACGATTATTCGTGAATACCACAATAGAATGAATAACAGTGAATTTTGTGGCATCTTAAAGAAACATAATCAACGATCGCAAGATTTAAGGTATTCCGTAGGCACGGTTGATGGTTATAAGTGCTCATCAAACACCGCTTAAACAGTCTGGACAAAATTCAAGTGTTTGTTTGAAACGACGCGAGGCCCTATGTAACTTTTGCACTTGCAGTTTCGCCACAAAACCTTGTCTTGTCTCCCTTGTCGGCGAGTCCCTGTTGAATCCAAAGCACTGGATTTGGACAAGTGTTGCTTACAGTGTATGTATGTTTCCTAACGGCCTCACATATATAGGTTAAGTAGAGCCTGCCTTCATGGAGGGAAACGACTCTGGTCATCAGGTTTCTGCAGCGACTTCACCACACACTGCCGACATAGCACACCCTCAAATAACCTGGGCAGGTAAAGCATAGGAACAAACTGTCCCCTTTCAACGAAGCCACCCAACGGGAGACCCGGGAACAATACCACCAATGACCATGAAGATGTGCCGCCCGCACATCCGTAGCACTGCTGAAGTTGTCCTGTTTAGAAATGTTTACTAACGGTTAGTCGCGTGTGATTCACGAACATTTACGGGTATGAGAGCATTCGACTATCAAATTCGGTTGCACTATCGTGACAGTTGCATATTCTCATCTCTTGTCCGACTGGCTGCCGCTTTAGAGGCAACAGACGTTTAGGAAATCGTTCACCTTATGATAACGAACAGGATGGTAACGTGCGACGGGAAGGCCGTATTTTGTCTTCTCGGACAAACGCGTGCAGGTTAGTCAGCGCTCTTGGCAACTCCTGAAAATAAGAAGTGCATTAATCTTATTTACTTTCTCTTATGCCTCGACATTCGACCGGCCTCTGAGTGTCCTGTTGTATCGCCAACGCATTCCCCCGTGACGCAATGTGTCGTTGCACATTGGACGACTGGAGGCACGCAGTCCACGTAATTATACTCTGTGTAATTGTTCAACACACCATTGGCTGTGATTGCTCAGGACCGTCCGGTCAACAACTCAGAAAAGCTTAAAAAATGCCCTGATGCGTCATGACAGAAGACATCCCTTTTTCAAATCGAAATTTGCATCAAAGAACCACATTCAGTGGCACGATCAAATAAATTTCTTCAAGGCAGCGCATATTCACAGAACACGTACTTCCGAATGCAGCTTTTTCTGCGTGGAACAGCATAGTCCTTAATAGTACATTCTAATCCGGGCCAATAGTTCCAGCACCATGTGAGGGAATCCACCTCCACACAGGTCTGTGTTTTCTCCAAACTTCAGGGGTATCCGGCTGCTGAAGCAGACCGGCTTCCTCAAGTTGGAGATTTTCTAGGTTCCCCTAACATTCCACTGGCGACCCCCCCGTTTCCGGCCTTTTTACACTTTTAGTGGTCTGTCTATCTAATAAGTTACCTTTTAGGTGTGTGGCAAAGAAATAAAAATAATAACCTAGATTGGGTGTACAATAATAAAGAGGTCAGACGGAACAGACACACTAAAATTGTCCTCTTTAAAACAGTTAGTCGTTGGCCCAGGTCACTGAATGAACAGTAATCCAATTATGATGGTCCGGAGGTCTTCTGAACAGTTCCCACATATAATAGATTCCGAAGACGGTCTGAAATGTCTTGATACCAGAGTTAGCACATGAGACTCGTGAATGACCGCTGCAAGCGCGAGCGAAATCAGAGGAGACAGTCGAAGCACGTGACCACGCTCGTATTGCGTGAATTTTTGTACAAGTGGGCGTTTTTTATTTTTTCGTATTCAAACAAAAAACGATTACGCAGTTGACGAAATACGTAGTTTTATAATGAAAGAAAAATAGAGGCACAAAACGCCACACACTTTGACTCCCAGAATCTACTCTAGCTGATCCTGTTTTGGTGGAATTCTGCAATCTCTTGGTGGTTATAAGTGCTAATGGGAGATGACCGAAATACACACAAACGGTGTCGCCTAAGTAGAGAGCTTCTCAATTCCCTGCTTATGGACACGCTGGTGCTTTATTTAGATGCCTAACGTAAGACTTCCTGTCACACACAAACGAAGACACTTCACCTAAAATCAACATGGGCAACCTTAGCCATAGAGTATGTATTAGTCTTTAGGGCCCACGCGCTGAGGAAATTGGACGGCGTTTAAACTTGATAAGACCTCCCGACTTCTGGGCCGAGCCCATCTACCCTTGCTCTACCAACCGGGTTTTGGATGAGGACCCATGCGACGGAACCAATCGCATTGTTCGACTGAGGGTACAATATGCTGACGTATCCACGTAAGTATGACCAATGGGAAGTTAGTAATTTTGTTTGGTTTGTCACGAGCTTCCCATTCTCCCGCGGCCACGCGCACTTTAGGTTCACGGCGGGATTTCCTGATCTGATTGCAATCCGTGTAACGGCACGATACCATGTTCTTTGTACACGTGCTCTTCCTGATTATTCCCGCTTTCGACGCTCTGGAGTTACCCCGTGGTGTATCTCTTCCAAGTAATCCCTGGTTTATTGATCATGTCGAACATTAACAGGAGCCTCCTTCTACCAGGTTGGTCAACCTTTCAAGTGCTTGGACGGGTCCGGTGTTATTGCCTGGTACCAAGTTAACGACGATTACTGTGACTGTCTGGACGGATCCGACGAACCTGGAACGAGCGCATGTGTGAACGGTCAATTCTTTTGCCAAGATACACAGTACAAAGTGGTCTCTCTGCGTTCATCTTTTGTTAATGATGGTGTTTGTGGTAAGTGAGATGTCTTTTGACCGTCATGTGCTGTTGGTGCGGCTCTTGGCTACTCTCCTTGGACGACAGTACTGTCGTTATCCCAATAGCGTCACTGGTCAGCCTGTGCATATATAGATACAGACTGATCAGTGACGCTCTGTACCCAAGGGGAGCAAATATTCGTAGATATAGGCTCGCATTAGTGGTCGAACACACTTGAGATACGTTGAATTCTTCGGATGCTAATCGGGATCAGGATTTTATATCTAGTTATTTAGGACACTGTTTGGTGAATTGGGCGGTGTAAAATTTAGGTCTCCGATTTCTGAAATCATTGAAACTGAGCTGAAGATCCGGGGTTGGAACCAAAACTCTCTATCTCAACTGCTCATTTCTGGGCCCTGGCAGCCTGAAAGCACGTCAACCCCGTTATCCCTTCGGGTGGGATGGCAGCTAGACACCGGAGGAGTGTTACAGCTGAACGAATGGGTTTGAGTCAAAAGACTACAAAAGAAGAGAATCCCAAGCAAAGAAGAATTCGCGCAGTTTAAATACAGGAATATAACTTTAAACGAAAGAGTCCAGTAGCCGTCAATCATCATTCCTAGACAGTTAGTTGACTACCTGGAATTATGCGCCAATATAAACGACAGGACCTGTGGGTTGTATGGACAAAACCACATTTGTATCTAGAGGCAAACCTGACCCAGACCTTTTGCAGCCGCTCTCAGGTTTATGGTTCTTACTAACAATGGAACGATTAATATGGGGTACTTGAGATGAGGTGTGCTCTCTAAGTTCAACGTCAGAAATCGGTTTTTAGACAAGAACACCGCTGACGTCGATTAGCAACCATATTTTGCAGCATCTCTAACCAGCCGCAATCAGGATCATGCCGTTTTCATCCTGAAAGGTGAGTAGCACCGGCAGATTTGAAACGTCTCGTAATCTCTCGTACATCTGTCGGGTCAAGCGTTGCTCACCTGTCTGCTTCCGCCACCCTGATTCGGGTACGGAAAACAGCACTCAGGCGAAAGATGGTTCGACATGCGTAATACATGGCCTGACCAACGCAACTTCTGGTGCCGGACATTTCAATGGAGCTCCCCTTTGCACTCACGAAGACTCGCTTTCTAATGGCCTCGTTACAGCTTCGCCGACATTAAATCTCACGAGCTATAGTTGTGAGACAACGGTTGTCGAAGACCTGAAAAGTCTCAGTTTTGTTGCTTGTGCAGGACAAGCTTCAACTGTACAAAACAGCCCGCACCGGAGCCTAATACACAAGTTCCTTGCGATCCAGCTTTGACAGCGTTGACACCATAGGTATATGAACTTAGCAACCGTTATTTGAGCCTTACAGATTCGTGCATTAACCTTAAACTTTTACCAACTTTGTATAAGAGACTGCGAGTATCGCACGGCACCCACTCATATCTCTCAGCTGGTCACGGAAGCACAAAACTGTCACGTGAATTTAAGGTTCAGTCAGCGTTCGGCCGTGTGTCAAAAATTGAACACAATAACTGAGACTCAATGATGGACTAGTTTAGTACGCTTAGTTAGTAAAGCTTGTTTCTCCCTAGCTTCCAAAGTAATGTGTTTTTACGACAGCTTTGACGCGTGAGTGCCGTCTACTGCGCGAATTCACCACTTCTGGCAGTGTCGTTAACCGTTGGTGAGATGAGTCCCAGCAGCAGTTGTCGACCCGACTACGTTCACTGGTCAGTGTTTTCGTACTTCGTTCCCAGGTCATACAATCCAGTTATTACCGTTGCAGAAATTTCTGCAGCATATCTGCACCGGGTACTGAAACTTCCGCAATGTCCGCAGATTTCTGCACCCGAGTGCGGACCCAATGCGGAAATGAAACAAGTTTCCGTACCCAGTCCGCACCCGAGTGCGGTAAATCCGCACTCAGTACCAGAATTTCGGCACTCAGTCAACACTTAGCTAAAGTCGTCCGGCGCGCCAATTCAGCCCATTGTAGGCATTTATTTCTTTCCTCAGTACTATTCGCTAATTTTTTAAATACTATGCTCCCGTGCCATGACAGCCCATCTACCCCCACACCTTTCCTCAGCATATTACTTTCCTAGATATAAATAAGTGCTTTCAAGTATATACTTTTACATGAGTGAAGTAAAAAAATTAAAGGAAATCACTTGTCATTCTTAGTGGCTCCCTTGATTTGCTGTAGATTGATGTTTGGAAACTTCTCAGCTGTCGCGTCTGTAATGAAGAGAGACGGTTATTGAATTTCATCTGGCCACTTGTTCAATTAACGCAGTATAAGATAATCATTAAATAATTACAAATAAGTCCTTGATCCGAAGGCCCATTTTTCATTTATACCGCGGCAATTAATTAGTGTGGCGAGTCTTGGTGCCGATGTCCATGTATGTTCGTCAAGTACAGTTGTACATCGCCATCCTCTTGCAGGAACCACCTTTCCACCTCCCAGTTAGCACGGTGCTAACTGGGAATATCCTCCCGGTCGCTTCCACTCAGCACAGGGCTTATCAGAAAGATCTCTACTAGGTAGACGGCCCTCTGTCAAACGGAGTACATTTCCTAGCCAGTGTAACCAATGAAACGTGAGCAATTCTGCTACAGCGGGAGAGTTTCTTCGTCTTAGGTCCATCTTCGTATCATAAGATTGATTCCAATGTTTTCATTAGACCCAACAACGATGGCCAGACACTGACATCCTCCGTACGTTCTCGGCGCGTAGGAGCCACGTCTCTGATCCGTAAAGCAGTATAGATCGCTCTACCGCATTTTAAACTCTACCCTTGATAAAAAACACGTTGCATCGTTGCAATGGGTGTCGGAGGTTAGCAAAATCTGTCCTGATTTCCCCGCTTCGACAAATAGCCTTATTTTCATCAAATCCACAGGAACTTACACAGCTGCCCAGTTAAACAAGTATGAGGTTTGGGTTTGATCCCACTCAAACCTGTAGCAACACTTTACACTCTACATGCGTGAAGCGCACGCCAAACCGCTTGGCAGAGTTACTTAGTTCACTCATAATAGTTCGTCTTTTTGAAAGATCTAAACCAATGAGAGCAATATCGTCCGCATGCTCAATGTCTGTGATGGAACGTTCCAGGAGCATTTCGACTCCCGAGGTTTAGGAGGCAGGCAGATAAATTTCAAGCAGCCCATCAGTAACACATTTGAGGAGGAAATGTGAGATGACAGCCTTTACTGGACGTATGCTCGTACGCGCCCGTAGGGAGTTATATAGACTTCCCTCATGAGTGAAATAAATTTGAAAGGGACACCTTTGATCGCCAGATTCTGCCAATTTTCTCTAGACCGTCGATTTCAAAGCAGATTTCAGATCTAGAAAAACAACCAACGTGGGACATTTTAAGCAGTGACGCTGTTTAAGGACTTGTCTCAAGTTAATGATTCATCCTCGGCCAGGGCGAAATCCAGCATGGTGTTCACGAATCTCTATAATCGATTGACCTATGCACAATAATGCCAGAGAACACCTTAAGTGCGACGGAAAGCAGACTTATGGCACGATGGTTTTCACTCTTTTTGAACTTTAGGACGACGGCTGTTATTCTGTATTCTCCCGATATCTTCTACAGTATCGATGTCAGATTGTTCGTGAGGACCTCGCCATCTTCTCTGAACAGTGCGGAGTGTGGCAATCCGGGCCAGTTGCCTTGCCGCACTTTCGGGTTGGTATATCATGCTGAATTTTTGTTGCTGATGGTGGGCCAGTGCAAACGTTCCATTCAAGCTGGGTCCTTCCATCTGTTGTGATGAAGATGATCGACTGAACTGTTCTTGGAAGTGTTCAGCGCGTCGCTCAGCAAGACTATTGAAGTAATGAATTCCTGTTCCGTCTTTTCGCATATCATTTCGCTGGCATCTGCCTTCTTTTGACCGGTTGATCGAATCAGTTTAGGGTGGGGCTATTGCTGGCAGTGAAAACCATTTCATTGGTTTTCAGAATCTACCAGCGTTCTCTGTCACTCTTCAAGCTCCTGATTATCTGGTGGTTGCGGGATCTGCCTGGGCTATCACCGTCGCTAGTTGTTGGTGTGAACTTTCTGGCCGCAATAAGATCTGTTGATCTGGACGATATCCAGTGTTCATTTACTCGAGTCAGATAGCCTGGACAAACAGTTCTGAAAGTCGAGAGCATTGCTTCTTTCGCTCGTCTCCACTCAATCTCCAAGCACTCTTCGTCCTCCGCATAACCGTGCGTTTGCAGTAGCTTTCTAGCCAGATCACCTCGATACTCAACTAATGAAACTTGTCGAAGTTGATGAGCGGTGCTGCTCTCCTTTGTCAAGCATAATGCTGGCGGAAAGCGAATTGATAGCCAAGCTGCGTACATCAAAAGAAATGACAATCTTTAACGGAGGCTTTCCATCGACAACTGATAGCCACCTGGTCTGTTTGGTTTAACGACTGTCTTGCGGTTGGTGACCTCCAAGTAAATCTATATGAGCGTTTGTGTTGGAAGTTCGTGCTGGCTAGAAACAGACGACGATCTGTACACAATTGAAGCAATCGGTCCCTATTATCCCTACGTTCAGTATCGACTGCAAGGTTAACACACAATTGCGCTTCTTCTGAACTTATTCGTCGAACTTGAGCATTCATATCACCCGCTAGGGTTACAACATCCGTCCTTCTTGCTGACCGATACAGATCTTGACAGATCTTGATAAAACTCGTTTTTCTCAGTCTCAGAACTGCAGTCTGTTGGGGCCTGCGTTGATACGACGAATAAACCGTATACCGCATCTACCTGTATTTATCTTAACTGGGCCAGAGAACTGCACAGCGCAAAGACGCCTGTTTACGGGGATCTAGTCTAAGGCGCCTTCACCCTTGGGACTGAGTGCAACGCCCACATCGTAGATACCACGAGCCATTGCATCAAATCATCGGATGCCCGAAGAGTGAAATGTGGGACATTGGAGCTCGTCGTAAACGGTTTGAGGTGCACGACCGAAGATGGGTCTTGTGTGCGTGTTTCGAAGACGCAACATACATTGACAGATAGAGAAAGCAAGGTTTCAGCAAGGTATGTCTATTGTGCAATCCGACATAATACGGACATTAAAAGCTGCAACCTGGATCAGATCTGAGGTTATTGATTGGTTATTTTGGTTCATATTTCTGGGCGAAAGTTTAGACACGGAACGATGGTTAGGGGAGTGGCATATGGGTTGGTTGCACTGCATCGTACGATGGGTAGGGATGCAGCCTGAGAGAAGGCTTGTGGGCGAAAAGCTGCAAGGGCGAATGATACTTCCCGGTTCCCCAAGTCGAAGAAATAGGTTTGGTTGAGGCCATCATCCGTGATTGTTATCAGCTTTAAGAACCGTACAGCACTTATAGCTACCACAGTTCCGTTTTTCGATGGTTTGAGAAGGTGGGGCAGGTGGCTGCGCAGTGGAGGCGGGAGCTGATGTAATTGATGTCCCTTAACTGCGGAGAGTGCGAGTGGAGTCATGCATTGAAGATAGCAGCTTGGATGCCCGAGTGCCATTGAAGGAGCAACTGGGCCATGTCTGACAATGCCTCTAACCATTGATGTCTCCTTTCTCGAGGTCCCCATCCAGGATGGTGGCAATGGCTAGCCCATCTGAGTCTGTTTGTAGCGAATTTCATACTTCACTGCCAAATCACTGTTTGATCTCCCCCGGCTCGCTTCCACTCTTCGCGCGGTTGTGCGAAAGCAACCCTTCAAGGAAGCCGGTCGAGTGGCATACGAAGCCAGTGCCTATACAGTGTAATCAGTTCATTTATCTTGGGTGAGTTGTTTCTCCCGAATACCATTCGACGAACTTCAGCATTGCTGATCCGGTGTTCCCACCGGATTCGGGCAATGCTCCCAAGATGTCGATGGTCAAACACGGAAAGTTTTTTATCTCCTTGGCGCGCAGCGGCCAGGTTTCTGACATAATAACATGGAGTGCATCGCCGCATTATGGACTCCATCCTTGGCGGATAAGCTGACGTTACACACCTATACCATCTTTCGCGAGACCGCCGGGACTGATATAGCTGCCTTGGCAGACAAACTCGTCTACTACCTCAATGGGCTCACCCACAAGCATGAGGTCAAGGTTCGAGCCCGCCCAGTCTTGCAGCAGCACTTACAATCTGCAGGTGTAAAGCGCATGGCAAACCATGATGCAGAATTATTTGGATTATTTAATATTATTTACATTACCACGGCGTCGCACTTTATTGGAGCCATTTCGTCTGTGTACTCGATATCGGTGAGCGGAAGCCCCGGGAGCACTTCGAGCCTACGGGCATTAGTGGCCGATCGTGAGCCTTCCATGATTGTATCAGTAAGTTGAAAACGGGGGTGAAAGAGGACAGCTTCGCCTGACACCGCCTGATATGATTATTTCAGGCGAGAGCTTCCCGTAGACCTTCACCCGTCCACGGGAGGGTCAAGAATTCATGCCGGACTCCTTTGCTCAGTGGACTGCCATAGCGCCTGATGGTTCACAGAGCAAAAGGCAGCTTTCAAGGTAAGAAAGACGACCGTTGTTGTAGCTGAAGGCATAGTCGCCAAGCTGACGTCACCTATACCATCTTTCGCGAGACCGCCGGGACTGATATAGCTGCCTTGGCAGACAAACTCGTCTACTACCTCAATGGGCTCACCCACAAGCATGAGGTCAAGGTTCGAGCCCGCCCAGTCTTGCAGCAGCACTTACAATCTGCAGGTGTAAAGCGCATGGCAAACCATGAGGCAGAATTATTTGGATTATTTAATATTATTTACATTACCACGGCGTCGCACTTTATTGGAGCCATTTCGTCTGTGTACTCGATATCGGTGAGCGGAAGCCCCGGGAGCACTTCGAGCCTACGGGCATTAGTGGCCGATCGTGAGCCTTCCATGATTGTATCAGTAAGTTGAAAACGGGGGTGAAAGAGGACAGCTTCGCCTGACACCGCCTGATATGATTATTTCAGGCGAGAGCTTCCCGTAGACCTTCACCCGTCCACGGGAGGGTCAAGAATTCATGCCGGACTCCTTTGCTCAGTGGACTGCCATAGCGCCTGATGGTTCACAGAGCAAAAGGCAGCTTTCAAGGTAAGAAAGACGACCGTTGTTGTAGCTGAAGGCATAGTCGCCGTACCCTAATCTGTCGGAGGGTAGAAGTATGATCGGTGCGCCCTCTTGTAGGAAGGACCCTAGCTTGGTTCTCACGGATCTGTGTCCCCCTGTGTTCAGTCAATCTTCGGAAGATAAGACCAGACAGCATCTCTGGTACCACAGTTACCAAGTTAGTGGTGGTTTTTGCGCAGCGCCCGCGTGCTCCATTTGAATATAGGACGAACTATCAACATGCCCTATTCTGCAGGCACTTTCTCTTCGTTCCATATCACACCAAGTAGCTTTGTAAGATAGGTCACCAGGGATTGTCCGCTTTCTTCGAGATGGGCTGGATAGAAAACGTCCGGTCCTGATGCCTTCTCACATTTTAGTTTGGATATTTCTTCCAATAGGCGATCAAGATTTACATTCCATTCGCCCGTATGCATCATCTCCAGTGGCCCTGTTGCGGGAGGCCAGCTAAATTGTTTTTCGAAGTGTTCTGCCCGTCTTTATAGTAGGCGTTTTTGCGAGTGAATTAACGAGTCCCCTTTTTTACTTATCTTTCACTGACCGCTGCTCTCCTAGGGCCCGTCGATCTTATCGAATGGCATAGAACACAGCTGTTTCCGCTAGCCTAAGCCTTCTCCGTCTCCAGAGCCTTTGATGTCTACCAGAACTCTATCTTTCTTTTGGCTCTTCGCCACTTGTCATTTGAGGGATTTGTGTGCCGTCGTACTCGTTGCCTCCTGGCATGGGTTTCCTGTTGTCAGTGGTGATAAGCGATCTCGACGACATCTAGCGGTCTTGCAGTCGTATCAAAAAAGTTGGCCAGACAGCACTGAACCCCGCCACCATAGTTCATTTCAAATTTTGTCATGTCTCATCCACATGCTCACTACCTGTACAACATTGGTTTACTGTGGTGATTTGTCGAGCGAGCTCAGATCGCTACTATTGAGCTGTTAAAGTTTCTCGAAGAGAGTGGCTTCGCATGCTTGCTGACTTGCGAGGGTCTGAAGGCCAGCGAACTGTTCGGCGTGCATGCACCATGGCATGATCGGAATCTAATTGTGTGGCCCAGAAGGAGCGGTAGTCTTGAATTTGGGCTCTTCATTGGTGGCTGATCGGGCGCGAGATGGCTTAAGTGGTTAGAGCGCTAAGTTACTGATCGGAAGGTCCGTGGTTCGAACCCGACCTCTGCCTCTCGACGTCCCCTGTCTAGGCTTGGGCAACCTAGCGGTATCCCAGCTTTCTTCGGGTGGTATGGCAGCTAGGCACCGAAGGGATGTTACAGCTGAACGATTTTCTATCGGTGGCTGACGGCCACGTGATTCAGCTAGGTACATGGTTGGTTTGCGTTTGGTGGCCGCCAGGTTGCTTGATGCGAATGCTCCTGTCAAAAGTTCGTACTGACCAGAAACGCTTCATGATCAGCACACAACTGGAGGAGTTACTCCGCCGTTCCACGATTGGTCTGCTATACCTACTGCTATTTTGTCGCTGTTATTGTGGAAAATGTTCTGAGAGCCAACTGCATATCAGTCACAATTGGGGCCTTAACCTCCAAGGTACTCTCTAGTATTGTCCTGTGCATTCTGATGCGTCAGAATGGTAGAATCAAACTTCGTGGGAATCGATTATATCTTTACTTTGCCTCCGACACTTGACGTTCTCCCCATCTGAATTACATGGTGGTTCACCAGAAATCCGTTATATCATTGGGACTTGAGTAATGCTATCCGATATCGGTTTTGATTAGTAGGCGCCACATTTCATAGATCTGGAAGCTCATTGGATTCTCTGGACGCACAAGTCGCGTCTTATGGCTGTGCTGCTGACGTCATCAGGTTCATCTTTAATTGATGTACACCAGTTGTTTTTTTTGTTGGTTTGTCTGTTTTTAATAGTACCCTTCGAGTAACAACTGTCTTCTCGCTCTTACATGTTTTCAACTCGTGCTTTTTTGTGGATTGAACATCATGTCCGCTTAGCAATGCGTCCATCTCACCGCTACGTGGGTATTTCGGCTTCTAACTTCACTACACTTTAATTTAACAGACTTTTGCCGTCCCTGCTTAATAGTAAACACCAAACGAAAGTAAACAATACTTTGTCTATACCTGTGCATGTAGCCCTCGAAATGGTCGAGTACTGCATGCTTCCTCGTGTGTTCTCTGAGTTATTCAAACCCTAATGGTCTGCTAATGAGTGGGAGCGGGTATTTATATTCGATGAAGCAAAATTCGACAGACCTATCCATGTTAGTCTTTTCGTATCCTTCCGATGCCAGCTTAAAACTGATAGTTTTCTCTGTTTCACTTCTCACTATTGCGCAGATTGTTGTGACGGAAGCGATGAATATGCCGGTCGGGTAACGTGCGAATCGACTTGCGGGTAAGTCATGAACCGTTAGTCATAAGTCACGTCAGATGTAACAGCTGTTACACGTTCTGTCGTTAACTGATTTAGTGAACAGTTATTACTTTAGGAGCTGTAGGTATGCAGTTTTCGTTAGCTGGGTTATCGGTGTTTCGAAATGGGTAGTGCACTTGTTGGTCGAAGAATGAGGTGTTGTTCTTCCCACTAGCGATTCGTGTGTGGCACTTTCCGAATGAGGTGGCAAAGCTATATTTACTCATCTACGGCGCAGAGATGCACACTATGGAACAAATGTGAGACACTTCCAGAGTAGATTACTTCCACCGCAGTTGTATGCGAAAGGTTCTTTGTGAATTCGCCTCATCCAATTGTATTGATCAGGGTGGCTTCCTCCCGCCTCTAGATTTTTTCGAGACCACTTTCCTGCGTGGCGCAGACTCACCGGAGACATCTGCTCCTGGACACTACGTACTCGGCTGGTATTGGCTTTAGTTTCAGACACTCCGGAACTCAGAACCTGGTATGTGGCCCAATCTGGCTCCATGGTGCTGCACGACCTTTACACTTGTTGGATGTAATTGCTTGTGACCAAATCAAAACCGCATTCCCAAAGGTGAACCAGTTGACGTGGTTAACAAACTCATTTACCTGAGAAGATGTGTCGATCTCGGTTCCCGCTCCCACCCCCCCAACATACATGATCAGACCATCGTTCACAAATCTTTATCATCCTTGGTGTCTATGCGACGTTAGCTTTTCTGTCAGGGTAGCCTTTATGGCGTCACAGTACTCCCTAGGTCGTTGGCGGAACGCCGATATACTCCATTTTGCACATTGGAGCACGGGATCGGTGAGGTTACTGTGACCTGATCGTGTTTTGAGAGAGCTACTCACTTGATACAAATCTGATGTCCTAATTAATGTCCTGGTTCGATTACGTCTGATCCACCCTTCTTCGGTATCTCTTTTTTACATTCACACACCGGACGGAAAGGATGCAGCCGATGCCACGTTACTACTTGGTAGCTAAGCATGGTTGCCAAAGCTAACAAACCCAGTCGTGTTCTTAGATGCTATCTACTCTTATTGGCATCGAAAGACAAATCATATCTGTCAATGATTGGTTGAAAGTACTTATGGGTATGTTCTAGTCTGGCGATGTATTGCAAAGTCTAGTCATCTAGCTCAAGTACTCTCCTAGTGCGTAGTTGTTATGCTTCCGATAAAAAGCGTGATAACCGAGAGACTTCAAGGTTACCCAAAAGTAGACCTGGTCGAATGAAAATCAGAGTGGGTCTAAACCACGAGACCTTCTTCCCATACCTTCCACCTCAACTTCTGAACCGTCTCAAAGTTATCTATGCCCTTGCTCTTAATTTATGGCTACTGCCATCCGGGCTCTCACCAGCTCCTTGACGAATATCCCATTCACACTGCACAACCTAGAACAATCTCGCTCAACGCATAAATCGCCACCGCTTTTCGCTGTAGATCAACACATCTACCGTGTCTGAGGCAGCGTTCATGTGCACGATTTATAGCCAATAGCGGGTGGCAAATACGAGCAATGTATCAGAAAATTGTCCTAGCGCTGGCTTCTCGAAGAGCAAGGCTTGAATTACCGTAAAGCCATTGGGTCTACGTTTACCTTAGTTTGGTTATGCTGTTCAGCGTCATCCTGTTCAACTTTTAGATGACAGGCACATTTTGGATAACTGTGGATAATACCTTGGTCGCACTGATAAACGTAAAGTGAAGTGTTCTGCTCTGGAATATGTACAGCTTGTTATGTAATAATAATAATGCTAGTAATAATAATCGTTCGGTTGTGATACCCTCTCTGTACTTGGATGCCGTGCCACGGGGGAGGGGCCGAGATACCACCGGGTTACCATAGCCTAGACAGGAGCAGTCGAGATGCCACCTTAACTTCTGTGATATCTCGAGCTCAGCAACAGTGATCAAGCAGGATTCGGCCGCAACGGACGCCATGTCTGCTACAGCCGAATGCTGCTTGATCTTATTGTTCTGTGAGCTAGTAGCTCTCTCAGACCAATTCACAATAGGGTTTATTTCAATCATTTGAATACGAGAAAAATACCAGCATACCGATAATTCAGGCTAGTTCTGCGCAGTATGGAATTCCGGCCCTGCAGTACACCATACAGTGGAAGATGGCTCTCACACTATCGAGTTACGTCCGACCAAGCGAATTATGACCAGCTAACCAACACTGGGGCTTTAGTGTATCAATGAATGTATGCTTAACATCGCATCACTGGAAAATCTAAAGGCAACTGATCAAACGGCCCGAGGGATAGGGTTAGATTGCGCCTGACAGCAGCAGATGAAAACCAATAAAACGAAAAATTTACAAGGTTCTTGTATCAATTTGCGGCGTACAGCGAGGAAATGTACACTACGTCCTCTACTATCATCGCAGTTTATCACCCGTTGTCAGACAAGTGTATTTCAAGAAGGCCTAAATAAGGCACAGGTCATCGTTCACTCTTTTTAAGAGTGGTCCCTGGGGGCGATAATCATCCCAGTATGGTGACCAATCACCATTTTATTGTGAAACTATTCTTACCTTTTGTGGAATAATGTGCTATCTTGACTTGAAAGAATAAATGTACCTCTGTTTTATGTTGTTCTTGCAACCCCTAGTGCCCTGGCTGCCGCTGTTGAGCAAGCACGTTCTCTCAAACGAAGAGAAGTAGAGCGTGGTCACTCAATTTTCAAAGAATACGTTACCAAGGTAATATTTCAGTCCGTACCACTTGCATCTTCCTTCCATCATGGCTTTCATTCCGCTTAACGCGGTTTCCATGGCTGACGCGGCGTGGAATTCTCATGTTTTACTGGTGGTCCTTACCCGGTCAGACGGAAAAATTTCCCGGAATCAGAACAATCGTTCGTTGACATAAGTATGCTGTTTTTATAGGCGAAGACCTTTGAAGTAGTTCGAAGCACGCAAATTCCTTAAATTTGTGCATTATTAATATTACCTGAGGGGGTCGAGATGGTCCAACTGGTTAGAGTGCGAATTTACTGACCGGAAGGTCCGTGGTTCGAACCCGACCTCTGCCTTTCGACTTCCCCTGTCTAGGCTTGGGCAACCTGGCAGTATCCCAGCCCTCGTGCTTCCTTCGGGTGGCACGGCAGCTAGGCACCGAAAGGGTGCTAAAGCTGAACGGTTAATATTACCTGACCGATAGCTCAGAGAATCCATACAGCCGTTAAACACAACCACGAAGTATGCCTACCATTGGATTTAGCATCATTCAGGAAAGTTTTAATGTTCGAAACCTTTTTTTTCAATCTCGCTGTCGTACATCAGGATGTCAATCGAAGTGGCTACTCGGGACCACCTATGAGTGCATGATGGGAGTCAAAGGTAGTTCTGCTGCTTTCGGCAATCTGCGGTACCGTCTCATAGTTTACTCCGTCCAGCGTAAGTTGCCTAAAGTCCCAAACAATCAGAACCCTACTTCACAGTGAAAAGCCGTGTTTCTGATTAGATTGCGAAACGACACAGCCAGTCTATCCAGGGAGTTGAGTGAGAGCCTCATTTACTAGTTCTTTCCCCGTTATTAGAGAAAGCGCTCGTACCGCTGTAGCCTGAGATGTTGGAGGCACACAAAGGTAAACTGAGGAAAGTAGAGGGAGCTATCCGGGTATCGTCTGGACTTGTTTTACACATCATGAACTGGAAATCCAGTTGAGTGAGTCTCATGTTAATAGTGCCCTACTTCATAAACGAACCTTTAACTCCAGTTCGGCTTCCAAGTGCAAAGTGACTTTGGTGGAGGTCCGAAGACTGGTTGTCTGGTGGGCGACAAATGAGCGGAACCGGTAGGTTAATATCGAAGGCTTTCATCCACCTTACGAGCTCCTTTGTTTCGTTTTCAACTGAGTGACGCTCATGGTCCTCATTTGCGCTGTCCTTACTGCTGATCAGAAGACAGCACGGACTTATCACAATATGATAATGACGGCGGTGTTGTCGATGGGCGAAGATTCAAGATTTTAGCGCGGGATAATAGGGTAAATGTTAGTATGTTTGTTTTCATGGATTATAACGCTTTTGGCATGCGCAAGCATACATTCCAGTAGCATTCCAATCATATTTTTAATTCTGTTCTCCGTACTCCCATGAATTGCCAGTTCAATGCTTACTTATAAAAACAGATCAATTTTTTCAACCTCTATATTTATAGTTCGTTGTACTTGAATTCGTACTCGATTTCCTTCACAGTTTTGGTCGCCAGTTTTAACGGCATTTGATTTGGGATGTATTTCGCCAAACCAAGTCTTGGTCTACTGCACTGTTTTTTTACTTTATTTGTCGACCGTGCTTTTTTCTCGTTAGCTCAAAGTAAGGCGTGAAGAAGAACGTATTGCCGCAGAGCAGGCTGAACGCGAGCGTCAATTGAAAGCTGAAGAGGATGAAGAACCTTCGGGGTCGCAGGTCACACCACCATCCCAAACTTCCCCAGAACCACATAGCGGACAGTCAGTGGAAGTTCCATTGGAACCGCAATCCTTCGATTCCTCCAAGAGCTCCGAATTCGAGGACCCAGCGATCAAAGATCGCGGTGAACATGACGTTCCTGTGGAACATGAGGACGAACCTCACCAGGAGGAGAGCGACCAATCTGAAAACGCTGAAGGTCATCATAGTGAGTCGGTACTGATTTGTTTATTCCGTTGACCTGTTGACACAGTGCAAGTCACTTTATGGCTAATTGTTCTTTCTCATATTTTGACTATAAACGTGGGACTGCACTTTGCACTTCTGCGTGAATTTGGGGTAGAATAAACATTTAGGTGCATTCTTCTGATAAAAGAGACACTTGATTTCGAATGCTCCCTTGAATTTCTGATAATAACTGTCTGGGCTCGAACAGTATCCTTGCCGTCGTATCTGGGGTCCCGTTGCACTAAAGGGATACCACAGCTGAACAGGTGGAGTCCTGTCTTCTTTCAACGAAGACGGGTTTCACTAGATTGGTGTGAGCAATTGCAGAAGTTTCTGTTTACATTCCTGTTACCTTGAACGGCGTTGTGTCGTGTCTCAAATGCAGTTGCTATCATCAAATCAATCGCTTCCTTTTGTGAAGGCAGGTTCTGTTGGCTGCTGATGTTTGCCAGCCGCTTATGCTTCGCAAGGGGTTGACTTCATCTAATCTCCCGATGGCCCGCAAGACAGAATTTCTTGCAGAGCCTTACCCATAACCCGTCATTTCAAATTTCACCCAAATTACAGAGGAAGATGTGCCTAATTCAATGGCTTAGGGTGTAATTCACAGAAATGTCACTCTTGACACCGTTGCGCCACTCCAGGCTCTTGTTTTTTTGCACTTTGTAGATCTAGCCTGTAGATAGAATGATATGCGTTCCTTACGTCAAGTGCGGTAAAAAAAAGGGGTATTAGTCTTATAACAAACCATTTGGGAGCTTAATTGGAGTGCTTTGCACATAACTTCTACCTGTCACTCGGTTTTCGTTTGAAAGCGAATCTCAGTCAAGCAATCTACATGTGGTTGCGGGATCTGTAGATTTTACTTTTAGGTAACTCGTTTGAACAATCTTCCTTCTTAATGGCCTGTGGGTTTTACGGATACTGAGGCATACATATTGCTATTTAGCTAGGTCCTGTGATTGACCGTTGTTCCAGCCAGCACTTCTGAGTCGCATAATTGTTTTGAGAAGTTACTACAGACTACATTTCCACTATAATTGCTGACAGAAACGGCAGTGTCGAACGCCGTGAGGCGACCCAGAAAGGTTGCTTCATAGCTTGATGGAGATGCAATGAACCGAAGAGCATGGAACCCTTCGTGAACTCATAAATAATGGGCACACGTGAGTGGACTCAGTACGAAGTTGGTAACCAACGTCTTCTGACAGGCGTTTCTAAAAGCTCCGTACAATGCCACGCGGCTTTCTACGGGAGCTGAGTTAGCTTGGATGGGTACACCCCTGATTTCCGCCTTATTCCAAGACATTTCGTCTGTGTTGCTGGTATCTATACCGAAAAACCAACCAAGAGATAAGATTTCTGACAAATGTGGTTCTCATTTTTACTGCTGAGCTGTCAATCATGCCTTTTAGGCAAATACCACCTTTGTGATCATGCGTCTATTGCACTTCAGATGACGAGTCACCGCCACTACTACCACCACCGAAACCGGAACCGATGTAAGTTGTGTGTTAATTTTTTGTTCCATACCTCCTGACCAACAGTTGTTACCTCTTAGGTGGACTAAACGGGAAAAGCAGTGCACGAAACAAGACCTTTTTCTACAACTTCTTTGGGGGCACATGCATTCAAGCGCGGTGTGTTTGAGTCAATCACAGTTTTTAACGGAAGGCACACACACACATAAACTGAGCGGCTACGAACACACATTGGAGTAAAGTAGTGGTTTGCAGGGGTTGAATCACAGTGTCGGTCCAAATTTCAGTGGTGAGGATAAATTAGATCACTTTAGACTGGAAATAGCTTTCTTCACAGGCGTTTCTACCAATCACCAAAGGCGGAGCTCCCCCTATCCAGTTGACTTCATTGCATCTCACGTTCTCTTCATCCACTTCGAATGAACTACCCGACTGATTGAAACTGTCACACAGAGTACACTGAGAGGTTCGCTCTTACGCCCTCGAGAGTGTTATAAACAAAAGTTTGTCTTTTAGTAACACAATAACACAAAACGAAGTTTCTTTTTTTCTTCCTTGAGGAAGGCCCCTGCAGCTGGTGATGTGTGGATTAGTTCGTTTTAGCTGTTTCATCAGAACTGTGGGGACTTCTCTACATGGAATTTGGCAGAACCGACCAAAAGGAAGGGTTTTACTAATGAAATACATTCATTTGCAAGCAAATTCGGGTTTACTAGACTCACTGGGGACCCAGCTAAATCTCTCGTTTATGATGTTTTTAAGGGTTTACTGTTTTTTTTTTCAGGATCGTTTGAAGTCTTCGTTCTATGTTTTTTTGAGGATATCATCTTTGGATACCACTGGTCAATCGGTTATTCCTCTCGAGGCATCTTGTCTTAGTTTCTGATATTTTGTCATGTTGTATTGCTCGGTAATTGTCGCTGAGTTGTCAGTTTGCTGCAGAGGTGTTTCCAACGTCTCTGTCTCCAGTGAGGGGATACACGCAGTAATCCTGTTAGGATAAACCCTCGAACAGTTGACAATGGGTATTCCTCGTTAGATTCTCACAGGCTTTTCTAGTGTTGGAGTGATCACCTCCAATCCTTCTAGGGAATCCACCCTGCGGAGCGGTGATACTCCAAGGGAAGGTCTATGAATCTGACTACCTATTCAAACATTGGAGGGTATCTGCAGGTTTCTAGGGTCACGTCGATTCTCTATAAATCGGGCTATGTGACACGACATGACGCTTACTTGGCGTCTAAGTTGTCTGAAACCTGTTCAACTTAGTTAACTTTGTTGAACGGTGGGTTCAGATCGAAAACTAAGAGAATTTACTACCTTATACTGCAGTAAACCAAATCGAGCTTAACTCTCTCCTTTGCAAAGCTGTTTCTCTGGTGTCATCCGTCATACAATAGTTGCTTGTCGTTTCGTGAGCTCAAGACCGCATAGTGGTTGAAGCACGAATTTACTGACCGGAAGGTCCGTGGTCCGAACTCAGGCTCTGCTCCTGTCTAGGCTTGGACAACCCAGCAGTATTCCGACCCTCGTGCTTCCTTTGGATGGCATGGTAACCAGGCACCGAAAGATTGTTACAGTTAAGCGATTTTCTATCATCCGGTGTTTGTGTGACAGGTACCGGTTTTAATAAATTGTGCATTGAGTTGCAGTGGAGACGGGTTGAAGTAACTTGCATTCCAAGTGGAGATAGATTCTTCGTACACTACAAATTGATCTGAGTGCACAAAATATATCGTTCTTGGGAGCAGTTAAATCTGTAGCGAGAGTAGACATCAGAGTAGCGACCAGATCGAGGACCATTCAGTTCAGCCTGCCATAATAATACTAATGATGGTTCGGCTGTAACTTCTTTGGGATGCCTGGCTGCCACTCGAACAAGACACGTGGTCGTCCAGCTGTAACACCCTTCCGGTCCCTAGCTGCCATACCAACCAAAGGAAGCACGAGGGCTGAGATACCGCCAGGTTGCCCAAGCCTAAACAGGGGAATTCGATAGGCAGATGTCGGTTTCGAACCATGCACCTTCCTGTTATTAAATCCGCGCACTAACCACTGATCTCTTCCGCTGAGGTACTGCCGGGTCGCCCAAGCGTAGATAAGAACAGTCCTGTAAACTGAGCATTGAATGGATGGATGGTTAAGTGTTCAAACTACTAGCCGGGAGGTCGCGGGTTCGAGACTCTTCGGAGTTTCATGAGATGCTGATGATTCCCAATAAGGATGAAACAGCTGTACAGTGCTTCTCGGCTTTTCAGCATAGATTGGCTTTACTTACAGGACGAAATCTCCACCAAAATCCCAAATCTCCTCACACTACCAACATTAGCACATATGTTTAGTAGGTTACACCTTGAAAAGTTGTTTGGGTATGCATTCACCTAGGTATTTGGATTGATCGCGTCAACCTCACCAAATTTGAACGAGTGGGTTGTTGGCTTCGGGGATAAGTCAAAACCCTTGTTGAATGCTGTCGCTGCGCTACTTTTCCGGTTTTGTTCTACTTGGCGTTACAGCTGTAGATCGCCCTGTCTTACATCCTCTGCAGCATTACCCGGCCCCGTATTACGTTAACACCTAACCGCTTTTATCCTTTGACTTGACGCTCATACATAATGACCTTAATGTCTAACTCTCTAAATAGGTAGGTCCTTAACCAATTGACTATGGGCCAGAAGAGGCGTTTTATATGCTCAAGGACCTACCAGAATGCCTGGAGTACACGGATCCGCAGTATACATATCGATTCTGCGCCTTCAAAGACATCCATCAGCGTGATAAAGGAAGCACCGCAGACGGCACTCTTCTCGGGAGATGGTCTGGCTGGGCTACGGAGCAAGAAGATGCTCCTGTGGAACAAAAATATAGCCTCATGAAATTCAGTGACGGATGGGGTTGCTGGAATGGTCCGGCGAGGTCGGTGAAGGTAAACTCTATTTCACTTGATGACGAAATCTAATTATTCACTGCCTATCTGCATAATTTAGCCGACTTTTACATGGAGTGGTCATTAAGATAGGTGCCTGAAGATTGTCGAAGCTTACTGTAGGAATCCCCGCACTCTCAATTTACCATTGGGGGCTCCGAAGCGAGGTTATTGGTGATAGTTCTTCGATTCTTGAAGTTCGAAGCCCAAACACACGTTCTATAGACAAGGAGAACAACCTCAGGCATGTCCTTCCGGTAAGCCACTACCCATTCCACATTATTTGCGAAAAATCTTCACGAGGTGCCCAGCCATCGGCATCCACACAGAGAGGTTGTTTATGGGATCCATTTGACCACCCTCCCTGTGCTTTGCTAAAGACAACCATATGGCGGCCAACTGATGTCGGTGGCATCTTGTCCGTTTCTATCCATATTATGTGACCGATTGCCGAGGTGTAGACACCTCGGATGTTTGTGGTAGGCTAAACCTAGGTCCGCCTTCTTCTCTCATCTCTTCTTTTCGCTGTAAGGTTCCATTCAAATAGATTGACGTTTTTACGGCAGTCAAGCACCAGTGACCTCCTCTGGTATTGCTGCCAATGATGGTGAGAGGGGCGCATTCTCGCCCCATTCTCTGAACCCGACTTTCGGTCGTAATTATCGCCCGACCTCTTCACTAAAAGCCTATTTTCTCCCAGTCAAGCTTTGGTCCTTATAATATAACGAAGCGAACATCCCATCGTGTGTTTCAGCCGTTCGTTTCAACACAGAACAGTATGCACTCATACTGTTTGGTAAAAGAGTGCACGCACACTCTGCCCGTACTGTATTATCAAAATTTGAGCTGGCAGTCTACATAGAAACATTACACAAATGGCTTGTCGGTCATAGGTATCCACATCGAGAGATTGTGTGATTCCCCATGCACGAGGCTTATGGCAACATTGTGCAGCCGGCCTACATGTGTGCTGAATCCTAGCCAGTCACACTGCGGTAGTCAACTGCTGGTGGAGAATGACAGAGTTCAGCTAGGTTGCAGGCACGCGGTGAACATTAGTGCTTAGCTGTCGTAACAAGGACTGCCAACTTGTGTGATTAGTTTGTTTACGAATTCGATCTTTTAGTTTAGGAAAGTTGATCCCAGGCATAATCCACCTGCCATGTAGTAAGGCCTTCTCCAACCTATCTGAGCTCCGAAAATCGATTTCTCACAAGGAGTTCGTTGTTTCTTATTTATCAAACGATGAAATGCGCAAATAGTTGTGCTTCTGCTTATTTGAATTCACTTACACGTGTTGTTTGATGTTTTGTTCTCAGGTTCATGTTCACTGTAGCGATGAGAATAAAATAACGGACGTGAAGGAACCTTCTCGATGTGAATATGAGATGCAGTTATATACACCGGCCGCCTGCTTCCAGCATCCAGAAGTTTTGCTTAGGCGAATTCATGAGGAACTTTGATCGGTTTCAAATTTTGTCAAGTTCATCGGTGACATTTTAATATGGGATTTATTTCTCACTCCAGTTTTCTCACTGTCTTTCTGACACTTGTGCATGGCTCCTTGAGCTAACGCCGGTGTGTTACTCAGTCTTCGAAGCACAAGTATGAGCTATTCCAAATTCAGCACTGTCCATTCAGGAGTAGATACTGCATTCAAACTAGTTCGGCGTAAACCGTGATATTCGACGGTGTTATCTTGGTAGGGAGTGTAGGAAGGTTAACGTGGACACTTCCGCAGGTTTTCAAATGGTCAGGTGATCTTAACCGTGAAATAAGGAGGAAATCGACAAGGTACGGATTACGTATAATAGGTTCCGGATGGATACTGGATGCAACCGCTATAGTAAATAAACCCAAACATTAACTGTTGGTGTGTTCGTTGGACTGGGCTATTTGGGCGAAAGCTGAAGTGTTATCGTCATTACTTAGCGAGCAGTGCGTCGGTGTGTAGGCACCGAGCGCTGCTATGTTGAACCGGTTGGCGACCTATCATGAACTTTGATTGAACTGGTTTGATTTGATAGACCGAGGAACTGAAGCGTACGCTTTTCTTCACAAGATGCGGAAATGTGTCGTATCTTTATGTCTGTACGGCACAGTTTCCGTGAAGGCATTATTCGCAACTTTTCAGCCTGATCAGTTTTTTTCTGTCGTTAATGTTAGTACCAACATGCTCTCCATCTAGTGGAACTCGGAGACGTTTATAATGAGTCCGGGGATGTGCCGGTTGTCCGTTTTGGCAGAGGTCTGTCTCCAGGACAGAACTCCGCGGCTACAGTGCCCTTCGTCTTCCATTCTCATCATCAGTTCTTGTGAAACCAGAATGTCTGCTTTCGAATACTCGGACAATAATGCTTATCTGCCGAATTCAAGTCCCATAATCTTCGCGAACTTCATGGATTCTGGTTCTGGAATTCGACCCCATAAGGATGTCAGTCTGTGCTGAACACCCGGTAGTACCTTACAGCTGCGTCCACTTGAAGAGCCCCAAGTAGGAGGGACCGGCCGTGGGCCATCGAAGGGTACTCATCAAATGTATGAGTAGTGTTCAGTCAAAAAAATACTGTGTGCTCGCTGGGATTCATTGAAAACATGTCCCTCCCGAACGTAGTAGTTCAACACAACGATACGGTGGCAGATCGCCGATCAGCAAAATTATCCACTTTTACCTAGTAGTAGATTCAGTGTTCTCACCATCCGATAACGCAGTTTGCTGCAAGTCAATCGGCATCAATCAGTTCTACGACTCTTCATATACAAAGCTCTTGCGGTAAACCGGAAACCTTCTTGAGGTAGGCACTTCTGGTGCTTCACAGCACTTCAGAGACAGCCTTACGGTGCTTCTACACCTTGCGGTATCAGTTAACTTCGCTTACAGCCTGAAAGGTGTAAAAAATATCCATAATTTTCATCATAGTTTATGTGCTCAACATTGGCATGCACAACACAAAAATGTGATTAACGAAGACAACAGTATCCAAGAGGTCCGAGGGCGCAAATCTTTGAGTATGTGGTCAAGCTGCTTCCTAAACAACAGCAGACAAAACTCAATTTCCTGCTAACCATATACTGATTGAGATGACAGGAAGTTCAGTGAACAGGCCAACGAAGAGCATTTTGGAGCATGTGGATACGTTTAGCTCCTATGCAATTTATAAACGTCACATGGCACGCATCCCACGTAACGTAAAGTGAGGTTTCCTGAAATACATCCCCGGATGGTTTTGGACTATCTTTTCTCCTGTTTTAACCATTCGCCTTCCAATAATTTGCTTTGAATCATTGAGTTCGGCCGATCACCTTTCGCCGAATGGAGTCTATTTCTCAAAGACTACAGTGTTTTCAAGAGTACAATTTCGTAGTTTGAAATGTCTAGTGGGTTGTCCTGCGAATTCCCTGTATGGCTGATTGGTCAAGGCGGACGAATCTTCAAGGTCATCATCACCTGGAATTGGAAACAATCTTTAATGAAACAAGATATCGTGATTTCCGTTGTGACATGCGTCGCTTACAGTTGGCCGCCTTAATGGAATTCGCTGGTACGAAAATTCGGAAACCTGATGATTGTGTTCAAGATAATAATAAGAGGTGACTGCGAGACAGTTATCTTTTCTCCTTAGACAAAAAAACATACTGGAAAACCGACGCCTTGTGTACCTTCTGTCATAAGCAAATGTGCCCAACTTACTAGCTTCTTCGGATTCATCAACATTCCATTGGTTTCGCTGGCCGCATTTGCATTAAGCCTATTCATGACGCAAAACACCATTAGGTCATGGATCACCCTCTGCGCGCACGAATACCCCATAGTTGTCCTACATCCATTCATTTGACACCATCTCAATTACCTTAAATATATAAACCTGAGAGCCGCCAATTCTTCAAAAACCTCTCTGAAGTTGCGCCGCAAATTGGAATTCAGTTGTCGAAAAGTACCAAGTTTTCAACGTGACCATATTACAGTGAAGAATGTCTAGCGAACTTTTCTGCAAATTATCTGCGTAGATGATTTGAGGGGTTAGTCCTCAAGGTCATCAGTCACCACCGATTAAGGAAACGGTGGATAATGTAAGATATCGCGAATTGCAGTAAAACGTGAATCACCCACAGTATTCGAAAGTTGCAGTTAGTCCTAAAGCTGAAATAATTTATCGAGCTTTATGGAGTCTATATTGTGCTTGTGGACGCAGAATATGCGGAGTTTCATCATGTATTAACTTATTCTATGGACGAGTACTGAATTATTTGGTCTGGGACCTTGAGGGTTTCTATTTCCGGTTATCATCGCCATAGACACATTCGTTATTTTCATGTCTGATTTATAGAACGTAAAGCTTCTGGATTATAACCAATGCCCGTAGGCCAGGTTTTGTGTTAATTTGCAGCAGATTCCTCCATTGTAATTGGCAAAGCATGCCAGGATGACCGTGCCGTCGGAAATAGAGGACAGCTGAACGAACCTAGCTGAGGCACACGACCAGGATTGGGTTACAGGTCCACAATGCCTAATCAACTAGCCACCCTTATTCTTGCAGCCAACCTGTCCATTGGAAAATCCTTCACTTCATACTGCTCACTCTTCATTTGCTTGAACAGGTTGAACGGTCCGCACATATGGGTAGGGGCATATATAACCGGACGTCCGGCACCCATGCCATCTGTGAACAGGAAAGTGCGAAGCCTGTATCTACAGATCAGATATTAGTTTATTTAAAAAGATTTACCCAAAACGGTTTATCGTGTGTGTTCCACTGACGTTTACTACGGCCGAAGAGCGTCCAAATGGCGATATCTGCTGTCATTTGGAGAAGCAGAGGTGCCTATAGTGACACTCTCCTGACGGNAGAGCGTCCAAAGGCGATATCTGCTGTCATTTGGAGAAGCAGAGGTGCCTATAGTGACACTCTCCTGACGGCAGCACATGTACACTTCCGGACACACAAAGCCTTGCCAGGACCAAAAGCATACTGCCTGCCTCAATAAAATCCAACTATCAGTCGCTTACTCAAAAGCGATGGCTGACACTTCCGACGGTAGTTGTATATGTCTTGAGTAGTAAGGAGGTTGCTGATTTCACCAGCTACAAACTGCCTTACCTCATTTGATGCGCTGAAAAGGAACAGTGTCACAAACAGTGGGCACTATCTGGTGTAGATGTTAGAATTTGGAGGTGGCGGACTAAAACCGAACAAGGGGGAAAAACAAGTTGCATCCTACCTGATACATGAAAAGGAAACTACAAATGTTGGAAAAGGAGGAGCCAGAATAACGGACCTTGCGAAGCGCCAGAGTTGGCGTCATCCAGCCGGTGAATGTGAACTAAAACCTAAAACCACCCCTAGGGCCTCCTGGCCTTAGATTGTTATGCTTGTGGCCAGGGTCACAAAAATCGTACGCGGGGATGATGAAGTCGAAGGATTAGCATTGCGAGCAAATGGTAGCAAGAATCTCAGAAAAATGGTTTACATTTAAATTTTTGTACTCAATTATGTCGCTGTTTTGGCGGAGTCGAGTGTAAATGTTCCTTAGAAGATCAAGTTGGTGACAGCCTACAGCCGGAGTGCAAACTACAGAAAATTATCGACTTCATGGAGGGAATAGTTTGGGAGTCCACCGAAATGTTCAATTCCGAACGAAACATTCAGCAGACTTGAATGAACGCGTCCTGGTGGTGGCTAGGGCAGGGTGAACAGTTTGATCGTATTTACCGTTACTTGGACGCCTAGACATGAGTGTGGATGGAACATTTAACGGTGTGCTTTCAAACTGGGTATGTCAATGACGCGTCAATTGTTGGCTCGACATGCTTCGGTCGTTGAACAGCCCCGTAGCGGGCGTCAGACTTAAAGTTTGAGCTGGGGTGTGCGATTCTTTAAGCAACGTGACTTTCAAGTTGGCCAAGGCAATCTGCAAAGGTGGAACGAAGCCGATGTAAGATCGTAGGTATTTTTTCAGTCGGGGATCTCTGTAAATGCAGATCACAGGCCAGGTGAATAAAAGCCAAACAGTGTCCAAGCTAGGTATTACTGAAGGTCGACGCTTGGGAAGACGAGGGAACGTGAGGAGATATGTAAGGCTTGGTTAGTTTGGGATATCAAATAGAATAACGAACGTTGGTGGCGAAAAATCTTCACGTTTACCACAACTAGGGTGCTGGCAGCAAGTGATTGGAGGAGACAGGGCGGTCAGGCAGTGATTGGAGTTGTTAACATTTGACATCAAAATACAAGAGGTCTGGGTATAAGCACGCAGTGAGATAGTGTGGTTAGGAAAATAAAACGTATAAGAACTGACGAGAGTGGACTTTTGAGATGACAGACTAGCATATCTGGAACTTATTACGTGAGTTTGATAGTTCAGTAATCAAGACGAAAACGTGAATGTAAGAGAAATATTTACCAGTTCCCAAAGCACTGTTATCACCTTCAATTAACAAATCTATTCAGCAAGTAAAGTCTACAGCTCACACTGCCAACGACTCCTTCGACAGAGTTGCCAATTTAAGAGG